GTACTACCAAAGGAGAAGAGGGAAAAAAATCACATACTAATGTTCACAGCAGTTATCCACCCTGAAGCATTTAATATGTTCCACACACACACACACACACACACACACACACACACACACACATCACATAATAAGCTTTATGAGCCAGCAAGCATTGTAATCATCATTCCCATTTTACACCTTGTGAAACTAAGGTGTAAGCAGCTATAGTCACTGGCCCCGGGGCACTTGGTAGTGGCTGGTAAACCAAACTCTCACCTGTGCTGCCCACCTCTGAGGGACCCATGGGCCACACACGCAAGCCCTCAGGGGCTTAGAAGATCCCAGCCCAATGCCAGGCTTGGTGGTACACACATGCCCATAATCCTAGCACTGGGGAGGCTGAGGCAGGAGGATCACCCTGAGTTTGAGGCCAGCCTGGGCTACACAATGGGTCCAAGGCCAATCTGAACTGTATAGGAAAGCCCTGTCTCACAAAATAAACACTTTTAAAAAATGACAACCATGGAAGACCCACAATGAAGTGGCCAGGGGCTCCTACCCAGTCTGCCAGGCTGGGGCCAAAGCCATTTAGGGTCTAGAACTTGACCAGGAAGACACTGGAAGGACCTGATAGATGAACTAGTGAGAATACTTCACCCCCAAAGGTGCTTATCCCGCCCCTCCATTGCAGCACAGGGGAAACAGCCCCAGGGTGGCTGCAAGGAGCCAGCCAAGACTACAGAGGTCTGAGACTGGTGGGCCTCCCTTCCAGAGCTGAACTCCGAGAGGCCATCCAGGGGGCTGCAGGAAGAGGGCGGAACACCGGGGAGCGGGCCCTAATTGCACAGGAAGTATGCTGGGCCCTGCCCGGGGCAGAGGGGTCCAGGCCAAGCAAGATCTCAGCCACAATCCCAACAGGAAATGGGAAGGCTGAGCCTGCAGCCTGCTGCTAGGTTTGGCCTCCAGGGCCAGGCAGATCTCAGGTCACTGAGAAAGAAACCTCTTTGCTAGAAGAGGGGCCCCACTTGCAGGCAGAAAGAAATGAAGTCTGTAGCCCGTGAGGTGGCACAAGGCATTCAGGAGGCTGGGGCAAGTTTGCAGCTAAGCTGGGCTACAAGCTGAGCCTGAACTCATGGTGAGAGTCTGGCTCAAAATAAAAGAGGAAAGGAAGACAGGCAGGCTTCTGAGATGCCCAACGGCCCCTGGTCAGGGTGACAGACAAAAAGCCAGGCCATGCTCACTGTCCCCCAGCCTCACCAAATGCCTGGAGAGACAGGCTCACTGTTGCTTTAGAGATGGGGAAATTGAGGCACTGGGAAGTCACAACATGAGTGGTAACTGCCCTGCCAGGCCCCCCCGCTTTTCCTGGCAGCCTTAAATTCGGGAGTGGGAGTGGGAGTGGGGCAGGTTTGGGCAATTTCTAGTGGCACATAGCTCCTCATTGTGCGGCCCAGGCCCAGGCTGTCCCTGCCACAGACCTGCTCAGCCCCAAGAGGGCCTGTCTGTTTACTTAGCCTTCAAAATTATAACCTCTGTGGCTCCACCCAGCCTGCTCACTCCTTCTCTGACCGCGTCTTTGTTGTCCAGGCCTGTCCAGGGGATGGAGGGGACAGGAGATGAAAAGGCTGCATGCCGATGTCAGGGGGCCTGTGTCCCCACCCATTTTTGTAGCTCTGAGACCCTGGGCATGGCTGTTCCTTCTGGGCCTGATTATTTAATAATGAGCTGGAGGAGAGGAGGGGTCGGACGATGTTAAAGGGTCCCTCCTGGCCTAGAGGACACAGGATCTGAGCCAGACTGCACACCTGTGATCTCGGCGTTCAGGAGGCTGAGGAAAGAAGACCACTAGCTACAATTTGTCTTAGGAAGCCAAACGCTACTTAGCACCTCCCCACCACTCCGCCCTTCAAAAAAGAAACAGATCTGGGCCAGAAAAGAAAAATGGTTCCAGCCATTGGCAGCTCCAAACTCAAGGCAGTAGGAACTGTCCCTTAAAGCCCCCATGGGAGTCACTGCTCCCTCAGACCAGTAGTGCTGAGCCCCTCAAAGCTTAAACTCTGTTCTATTTGCTCCCTTTCACCTTCCAGAGTACAACAACCTTCAAAAATAGAACACAAAACATTCCGGGCTTAGTAGCACATGGGTGTAAGTCCAGCTATGTGAGAGGCTGAGGCAGGAGGATCCTAAATTCAAGACCAGACTGTGCAATTCAGCAAGGCCCTCTCAAAATAAAAAATAAAAAGGGATGTAGCTCTGTAGTGGAATGCTTGCTTAGCATACATGCGGTTCTGGGTTCAATCTCCAGTGTTGCCAAAAATTTTTTAAATTAAAAAAATCAAAGAGAAGTGTAATTTTATCTTCCTGCTTCCCCTAGATGTCTGGATCAGCCTTAAAAAAATCCCTGCAGGCCGAGGCAAAGAACACACAGCTCCTCAATACCTCAGAACAATGTGGTACCTCTCCTAGAATCTTCAGAAACCCAGAGACAGGGCCCAATGTCCCATCTTCCCCAAGTGGAATCACCCACCCAAGACCACACAGACACCCTTGGCAGAAGTCTCAGCCACCAGTGAGGCCAGACACCTCAGTTAGAGCGCAGGGCCGACCAAGCTTACAGCCAGCATGCACTTTGGAAAACACGGGCATGGCCCGTCTCTAACCCTAACCCTAGCGAGGCCAGGTGGGTGGAACCCTCTCAGCAGGGGGCAGTACACGGATTCCAGACTTGGTTACTGCTCTGTGCCCAGCACCCGACTCTATCTCCAGGTGCCCAGGCTCTTCCTTCCACAGCAGTTCAGTCCCGGGCAGTAATATCAGCAACACCTTCTCTGCCTTCAACCCAGCTCAAGGCCCACAGGCTTCCAAGAGGCCACAGCAGGAAGGGCACTAGAGACAGTGTGGAGCCCAGGGTGGTGGCACACACCTGTCATTCCAGCACTTGGGAGGCTGAGGCAGGAAGATCACAGTCAGTTTGAGGCCAGGCTGAGCTGTGTAGTGAGTTCAAGGCCAGCTTTGAACTGGCCAGTGAGATTCTGTCTCAAAAAAACCAAAACTTGGGGCTCCTACTTTGCAAACCATTCCTCCTCCCTGGCCCTCCTGGATGCCCCATAGGACCCACAATAGCCTGGCCATGCTTTGCACCTTCAGGGCCCCTGGGCCAGTGGGCTCTTCCAGCAGTAACAGCTAAGACACCAGGGCCATTGCTTCCTCAAAGTCAAGGCGCTCAGGCCTGACCATCACTGCGATTCCTCGCCACACCCTGGCACGACCAGCCACTGCTCTGCTGGCTTCACAGATGAGGAACCTGAAGCCCTCAAAAGGGAGAGCAACTGCCAACCACTGGGCAAGCAAAACAGGATCTCAAAACCAGACCCCTGATCCAGCCCTCTAGCTGCTCTGCTGTCACACTCAGGGCTGAGCAGAAAGAGGGTGAGTCTCCCTTTACAGGAGGGATGGGCCCTTTACGGGAGGGATGGGCCCTTTACCCTTTAAGGGAGATCAGCCCCTTAAAACCTGCAGGAGGAGCCAGAGATTTAACTCAGCTGCTGTGTATTTGCCTGGCAAGCAGGAGGTCACAAGTTCAGTTCCCAGTGCCAAAAAAGCCTATAGGATGTGAGAGTCAGACATGGTGGCACAGGCCTATAATTCCAGCTCTCAGGAGGCTGAAGCAAGAGGGCCACTGTGAGTTCAAGGCCAGCCTGAACTACATAGTAAACCTGTCTCAAAACAAAACAAAATAGGATCTATCAACCCTGCAGGCCCAAGAGCAACAGACATTCAAACACACCCCACTCACATGAGGTCCCTGGAGGCCTGGCCCTCTAGCCCTACTCCCTACATACATGTCCTGATATGCCCTGCCCACAGCCAAGGCCCAGGTCCTGCCTCCTCCCATCCCCCTCAAACAAGCTGACCCCCCTCCACTGCCACCTGCAACCCCTCCTGCCTGCAAATACTCACAAGAGGCCGATGATGGGACTAGTCCCCACCTCTGAGGCCAGCATCTGTGATTCCCCATATCACCCCATCCTTCCACCCAACAGGTCACCCACTTTCACCCACTGAGGCAGTATCTCCTTTACACTTTGTCCCCAGGCAAGCACCGTGCAGGTAGGGACCTAGCAGGAGCTGGTGGCACGAGAGCCCCCCCACAGCCAGACCTTCCTCAGGGTTTCGTTGGTGAGTTTTTTTTTTTGCAGCACCGGGGACCCAACCCAGGCCCTATGACTGCTGGAAGCATCCCACCACTGAGCTACAAGGATTCCATCACTACAGATAGAACAACAACAAAAAAGTCAGCCAGCCTAAGCTGAGGCTGGAGAATCACAAGTTCCAGAACAATCTGTGAAATTCAGCTAGACCCTGTTTCAAAATAATGGCTATAGGGGCTAAAAAAGCAACTCAGTGCTAGGACATCTGACTGTCACACAAGGTCCCGGGTTTCCAAAAAAACAAAACAAGGCAAAACAATGAACCTCAAGACCCCTGAGAAAGGGTTTGCAAAGGCGGAGAATTCCCAAGGGCACGTTCTGGTCTTAAGATCACAGACAGAACAGTCAGAGGGAGGAACAGCTCTCAGTCCAGAACCACACAGCCACTGGTGCCCAGGAGCAGGCTCAACTTACAAGTATTATTCTGGACAAGCACAGGGTAAAGGGGGTCGCATGGCACCCAGGTGTCCAGGACCACAGCTGGGCTCCTCCAACCAGCCGTGTCTGCTTTCCAGAGCTTGGGTGGGGGCGCTGGATGCACAGGACCCATCCGTCCCCCCAGGTGCTGAGGGTGTGCAGTAGGCAACGACCAGAGGTCATAGGAGCCCTCACCACCCTCCTGTCTCTGCTGCATGTTTGACCCTGGTGCCCTCAGAAAGTGGAAACAGCATCCTCTTCACCCTGAGGCTCGAGCGACCAGTTTGCCCAAAGCGCAAGTCCACAGAATGAGCAAACCAGGGCTCTGTCCAAGCACTTGGCTACTGAGTCTCACCCCGGTCCTCTGGGCTCCCAGCTCTTCATGCTTACCACCAGCTGTGTCTCCACGCTGGTCTCTTTCTCTGGATGGGCCAGTACATCTCCCAAAAGGGGCAGATCCCAGAAAGTAGACTGGACACTTTGCTACACAGCTCAGGATGGACTTGAACTCATGAGGCTGCTCAGGCTGGCCCAGAGATGCTCCTGCCTCAACCTCCCGAATGCTGGGGTTACTGGCATGCAGCACCATGCATACCCAGCTCCTGTTCTAGTTTCAATCCATCTGCTCAGATCTCAGCTTCCTCCAGTGACTCAGGCCCTAATCCTGCACCAGGAGACAGCACAGCTCTGTTCCACCTTGAAGGCTTTAAAGGCCCAGCCTCTGCCCAGCCCTGGCTTTAGAAAACCCTTTTTCCTGCGGCAGGGGTGGGGGTGGGGTTGGGGCTGGGGGAGGAAAAGGCAGCTGAGGAATTCGTGTGACCACAGGATGATGCTTGGAGGAGAGGAGACCGGGCAGCTGTGAGTCATGGGCTCTGCGTGTGTGGAGGAGGAGGAGGGGGGCGCATGGGGCTCAGAGGGAACGAAGAGGGCGGGGTGCAGTGATGCAGCCTCCGGGAGCCTCTGACACACAAGGCTCCGTGCTCTCCCCAGCTCAGCTCCTCGCTCCCTGTGTACCCAGGCTCCTTCCCACATTGCCGCCTGGCCCATCTGGGCACTGGGAATTACATAGGTGGCACAAGAGGGTTCAACCCAGCCTGGTAAGAGCTTAGTGAAGGGGGGCTGGGGATTTAGCTCAGCGGCATAAGTGCCTGCCTTGCAAGCAGGCAGTTGTGAGTTCGATCCCAGGTACCCATAAAAAGGAAAAAGACCAAAAAAAAAAAAAAAAGAGCTTAGTGAGGTAAAGGCAAAGGGCAGCCTTGCACACAGTAAGTGCTTAGTTAAAGGATAACTCAACTGGGTTCCCACTCAGACCCACTGCCTGCCCCTCCCTGCACCATCAGCCACCGTCCTCAGACAGGAAGTACACCAGTCCCCACGTGCTGCAGGCCACAAACCCAGAGACCACAGACAACAGCTGAAAACAGCACTGAAAGGAAGCTCAGGGCTTCCCACAAATAGCCCAGGTAGGCAGAGGCAGGGTAGGCAGAGCCATGCTGACCAGAGCCATGAAACACGGTGACTCAGTTTACGCTAAACACCAACATGGAAGAAATAAGCCAATGTCCAACATTCAGGGAAAGGCTAAGAAAACATTGTCTGGGCTGGGCATTCTGTAATCCCACTCACTCATAAGAGTGCTGTAATCCCCCAACACTCTTGAGAGGCTGAGGCAGGAGAATCCAAAGTTCAAGTCCAGGTTAATTTAGCAACTTAGCAAGGCCCTGGGTGATTAAAAAAAAAGTCTGGGGATGCAGCTCAGTGTTAAGGTCCTGAGTTGAATCCTCAGTACCACACACATACACACACACACACACACACACACACACACACACACACAAGCACGCACGCATGCATGCATGCACGCAAAGTTGTTTGTCCCTGGGCAACACAAGATGCAACTGTAGGGAGTAGTTTTTTTTTTTTTTATGACCCCAGAGAAATGTTTATTGCCAATCATTCAATAAAAGCAAATCCTAAACCTGTGTCCCGGTCCTGGCAACCTACAATAAACACAGAGGGCAGCAGAGCAGAGAGGTAGAGGCGGTAGGGCAGGGTGTGGGGATGACTCCTCTTCTTGTCTTTCAGCTTCATTCTTGGGCTGCCAGGAGGTGGCGTGGCCCAGTTTGGGCTCAGAAAAGTCTCTCTGGGCAGGCAGGGTGTGTGCAGCAAGGCCCAGAGCAGGAGGGCGAGGCCGGGGAGGCAGCACCAAGGCCGCAGTGGAGCAAAGCAGAAAGAGGAGGCTGGGGATTGGGGGCTGGAGGGTCAAGGCCAACAAAAGCCCTTTATGTAAGCCCGGCACAAGACAGCAGAATCCCCAGACATTGCACTCCGGGGCTGACCCAGACCTCTGCTCAGGCAGCAGCCCAGGCCCTACTTCCTGCCGGCCTGGTCTCTGCAAGGCCCAGCACCACAACCCAGAAGCCAGACCCCAGGGTAGGGGGTGTCGGAAGGGTGACACCTTTATCCCTTCCCTTCCCAACATGCACTATAAAACCAGCTTGGGAAAGGCACTATTTCCTTTGCTCAATAAATTCATGAGATGCATTTTTTTCTGGTATTTGATTGTCAAGAGGGATGGTAGCATTCACTCTGTGGTTCTTGGCAGGAAAGTGTCAAATGGGTGCTGCCTTTTGTGTCACTGTATCAGATGACCAGGTGTGGTGGCCCACGCCTGGTCCCAGCATCAGGAGGTGCAGGCTGGAGGATCACTGAGAATTTGGGGCCAGTCTGGTGAGTTCAATGCCAGCCTGAGTTACATAGCTAGATCTGTCTCCAAAAAAAAAAAAGGATAAAAATAAATCAAAACTATTACCCAAGGGCTCTATTTTGGGGCCTCTTTACTAGTGGCACACGTGATATACACAAGGAGGTTCAGGCAGCAACATGGAAACCAGCGAAGCACTGGTAAGAGCCGCGCCTGAATGCACACATCTGCAAACCCAGTTACGTGTTTGAGGGCTGAGGCAGGAGGATTCCAGGTTTGAGCCCAGCCTGGGAAACTTGGGGAGAACTTGTCTCAAAATAGAAAAACAAAAAGGGCTGGGAATATTTCTCCATGGTATAACACTGTTGGGTTCATTTCCCCAGTACCACAAAAAAGAAAAAAAGAAAAATACTGGAAAGAACCCAGGAGCCTACAAAAAGAAGCCTGAGTAAATAGACCGTCCCAAGCACGGAACAGAACCAAGGGAGGCTTGTGTGTTTGGACGTGGAAAGACACCCGCAGTCTACCCAGAAAAAACATCAAACCACGGAAGCCCAGGAGAAGTGCGTGGGCAAGCTGCAGGGGCAGGGACGAAGGGAAGGAGGGCGGAGGGCTTCTCACTGGTCACTTCCCCGCCTGAACAGTCAGCGCCGGCATCACTTGTGCAGAGGAAGGGTCTCGGAGTGGGGAGGCTTTGGGGGATACACAAGTGACCACTGATAGTTACAGAGTTTATTTCAGGGGTAATAAAAATGTTCTACAATTGAATGTGATCACAGCTGCACAACTCTGTCACTGCACTAAAAATTACTGAATTCACATAGTTGCACAACTCTGCGAATACGCTAAAAATTACCGAATTCAATAGATGGATTATGTCTCAATGCTGCAATTAAAAAAAACAAAACAAAACAAAACAAAAACAGGCAGGCATAGTGGAGCACGCCTGTAGTCCTGGCACTTGAGAGGCTGAGGCAGGAGTATTGCCGTGAGCTGGAGGCCAGCCCAGGCTATACATAGTGAGTTCAAGACTAGCCTAGAAATAGCAAGATCCTGTCTCAAAAAAGGAAAGAGAAGGCTGGGGGTTTAGCTCAGTAGCACAAGTGCCTGCCTGGCAAATGTGAGGTCATGAGTTCCATCCCTGGTACCAAAACGAGGCAGAGAGAAAGAGGGAATGGTGAGAGACTGGCAGGAAGGCAGAGCTTACAGGAGCAATGGCTGAGTCCCTGGAGACATGGAGGTCAGAGGGGACCCCCAGCACCCAGCCTTTCTCTCACCCATGGCATCTCAGGTTAAGTGGCTCTTGCATGAAACCCCCTTCTGGGCTCAAGACCCACGCCAGGCCCTGGTGCCCCTCTGCTCCTCCTGTTGTCTGGTCAGATGGGCCTAACCCCACCACCTGTCCTAGTCCTAGGTTCTTCTAACCATCACATTCCTCCTCATCACTACCCTCTGTGCCCCTCTGGGCAGCCAGGTCCATGGCATCTATCTGCCAAGGCAGAAGGAACCTGGAAATCTGGCTTCTGAATTCCAGGTCCTTGCATCCAGGGGAAAAGTCACCCTGACCGCAGGGGCTGGACAAGCCCAACAGAAATCAGAGTTTGATGGCTCCCTTTAAATTCCAAAGGCAGCAATTCATCTTGCTCAGAGGGAACCACACAGCAGAATGTGACGGGCTGGTCCATAATAACAGAGTACTTCCCTGGCCCCTAGCACTGGGCTGAGCTGCTGACTGCGCATTCCCTAATTAAATCATCCTGGCAGTGCCTAGAGGGCACCTGCCAGTACTGTTCCCATTTTACAGATAAGAAAACTGAGGTTGAGTAAACTAGGCGTGGTGGCGCAGGCCTCTAATCCCAGCATTTGGAAGGCTGAGGCAGGAGGAGCCTCACAAATTTGATACCAGTTTAGGTGATGTAGGGAGTTCAAGGCCAACCTGAACAACATTGAGATCTTGTTAAAAAAAAAAAGAGAGAATGATGCAGGGGAATTAGTTCAGCGGCTCAAGCACTTGCAAGGTTGTGAGTTAGATCCCTGGTACTGAAAAAATAAAATAAAATAAAAAAGAGAATGGTGATATCTTGGGAAAATTTGGGGCCGGACCTTCCTGTAACAGCTAGGGAAACTGAGCCCTAGGGAGAATAAGTGACCTGCCCATGGTCCCAAGTCAAGGACTTGGCTCCCAAGTCAAGACTGTTTTCAGGTTGTTTTGTTTTGTTTTTGACATATAATTTTACATGTACTTCAGGCTGGTTTTGAACTATGTAAGCCAGGTTTGCCTCAAACTTTTGGAAATTCTCCTGCCTCAGCCTCCTGAGTACTGGAATTACAGGCATGCACCACCATATCTGGCTAAACTAGGGCTCTTAACTCTTCTCTGCAATAGCCTCCTGAGGCCAGTTGCACGAGCTACTGGTGTAGGAACAAGCCCTTGCTTGCCAGAGGCTTTTAAATCTCAGGATAAAAGCTGCCGGGCAGCGAAACAGCACTGTAGGCAGGAGCGCGCCTGACCTTCGCCAGAACTTGCAGTCTGATATTCACCTGCTCACCTGTTCAGGAGGGGTGAAAAACGGCAAGCCAAGCCACAGCACCGGAACAAGCCTGGGAGATCAGAGTACGAATACGGTGGGCAGCCTAGAGAGGTTCCCAAAGCTGTCATTGCTACAGGGATTGCTCTAGGTAGAGAGGGCCTAGAAGTTTAACTGTGCAGCAGAGGAGCCTAAAGCTCCCAGGGCAGGGTGAGGAAGAGGAGGAGGTGGCAAGGGCGTGCCCTAATACCCCTGGCCAGATTTCTAAGGCAGTTCACTTCCTCTGGAGGGGGTGGGGAGACTTCAGTCCTTTCAACTTTCTGGTCCCTGCAGGTTGGAGCCACTCAGGTGAGCCTGCTACAGAATCCATGG